ATCGGTATGATATCATCAGGACCTGCTGCCTTGTGATTCTTTTGTTTTTTGATTGCATTTTTCTTTGCAATTTTCTTCCGTTTTTTGAGTTTTCTCAATATAATGAACTGATTTGTTTATATCTGCGATTTTTTGTTCCAGTTTCTGGGTGTTTTTTGTTATCATCGATTCCATTTGTTTCAGAGATTTCTCCATTTTCTCTTGGTTACTGGTATTAATCTTTCGAATTTCTTCTATGACAGTATTCTGTTCCGATTTATCTCTGGTGAGATCTGAGGTTATATTTTGGTGTTTCAAATAATAATTTATTATAGTTTCAAAGTCCTCGCTGGAGATATTGAGTTTTTTACCGATTGGTTCTTTTTTAAAAATTTCCCAAATCTTCTTGATTGAGTCTGACGAATTTAGATTTTCATCTTCTTTTTTCTTTGTTTCCTTCATTTGTTGTTGTCCAGATCTATTTGTGCCATTAGATGGTTTTGAGGGAAGCGTTTGTTGATTGCTCTGTGCTGTTGTCTCTTTACTATCATTAGTTGGTTTCTTAGGGGGGATTGTTTGAGTTTCTTTTTGTTGGGGTTTTAGTTCTGGGTTTCTACTAGATTTTGTGTTTGAATTACTTGAGACTATCTTTGGTTGTTTGTTATTAATAGTATTCTTAGTTAGATAAGATTTTTTCCGCTTGTTAATGACTTGCGTAAAGCCTTCTTCATTTTTGTTCTTTTTCGTTGTCTGTGGTTCAAAGGTTAAGAAGCTAGTAATAGAGCCGTCTTTTAGCTTTTTTGCTGTTTGTGACAGGTCTGTATCACTGAAACTCCTGTTCATTTCTGTAATGGATGCGTTCCTCTTTCTATTCCTGTCCTCTTCTGTGTCCATGGGAGAGTCTTGAATGATAGGCGTGGAGGTCCTGAATTGATTTGCTATTATTGGATTAAATGTTGAGAGCTTCTGAGTAAGTGCCTCTTTTGTTGTTTCCAAGCGTTGAATTTCTTCGAAAATTTCTTGGCGATTTCCTTCAGACATATTTTTGTTCTTAGTTGAATCCGAGAGAAGTGCTAATTTTATTCCAATCTCCTGAATTTCTTCTTTCAGGATAGTGTCTCTGGTTTGTGTAATTATTTTTTCCTGTTGTTCTTTTAGTTTTTCTTTTTGTTCCAAATCTCCATAAAGTTTGTTAATCTCTTCTTGAATTTCCAGCGAAGTTTCCGGTGGTAGTTGGTTTTTCAGCAGTTCTCCTTTAGTAGTTATCAGTTTCTTGTATTCTATTATTGTTTGTTCCGTGATTTGTAATTCGTTTCCTTGTATTGTTAAAATATCCATGGTTTTTGTTGAGGAGTTTTGTTCTGGTTCAAGGTTTGATGGGTTCAGCATCATTTCTTTCTCTTTTTCTTTGTCTGACATCTTCTTTTCAGATTTGTTATCTAAGGTGGAGTTCTCTTTTTGTTGAATCTTCACCAGTAATTCTTTCTGGGCTTGCTTACCAATCTCTATTGCAGATTGTGTAAGTCTTGCGTCTGAACTGCTTAGTTCATCTTTTTTCAGATTTTCAATGTTTTCATTCAACTGGTGAGTAACTTTCTCTAATTGATCCTTTAGTGTCTCAATAGGGAGATCGGTGCTAGATTCACCTTCCGTAACTCCTTCAATGTTCAGAAGATTTTCCGTGTTCCGTGGCGAAATTGTCGGAGCGTTTATTCCCTCTCTAGCCGGTTTGGAAGTCATTTGATTGTTCCTGTTATTTAGATAATATTTCCATTCGATGCACTCTTTGGACCTGCAGTCAAACCCTTTGATAACTTTCATCATTAGGATTCTCCATTTGCCCATTCCGGTCAACTAG